GCTTCAACAACCAACTGGTTGACAGGCCGATTCCTGTCTTCTAAAGGCCCAGGTCGCCTTGGGGCACGAGCAGGAAGGCGAGGAAGAAAAAGCCTACCATTCTCTAACAGGGACACTGGAGGGAGACAAACACATTATTACAATGAGGCCTATGAGTATGATGATGAATATGGTTATGAAGATGACTACAACAGATGGGGACATAGAGGATTTGACCCAAATGATCCTTATGGAGATCAAATGTTCTATGATGATGAAGAGTGGGAGGATGAAATTGGTTACTATGATGATGAGGGCAATTTCTACTATGATGATGAGTTTTACTATGATGATGTAGATAACAATGGTTATCCTTGCGGCTATTTTGATGATGATTATGACGATTACTATGGCCAGGAAGAGGTAGAGTATTATTATGGTGAAGATGGAATGTTGTATGCCATAGAGCCAGAGCCGTATGGTTACTATGGTGATGGTATGAATGGTATGTATGACCCATATGAGCTGGAGCTCTACGATGATCATTTTAACTACAACATGGCTTCTAACTATGGTGATTCATATGACATGATAGGCAACAACTATGATGTTGTCCCAGGTCTGTACAATGACCCAATGCTTGGATATCCACAACCTACTCCCATTTACAACCCTTATCAGCAACATGCAGTTATGAATGCTGGGCTAGTTCCAGCCCACCAACATGCAATCATGAATGCTAGGCTTGATCCATCTCAGCAACATGTATTCATGAATGCTGGGCTAGATCCAGCCCACCAACATGCAATCATGAATGCTAGGCTTGATCAAGTCCAACAACATTTAATCATGAATGCTGGACTAGATCCAGCCCAGCAATATGCAATCATGAATGCAAGGCTTGATCCAGCCCAGCAACATGTAATCATGAACACGGGACTAGATCCAGCCCAGCAACATGTAATCATGAATACTGGGCTGTATCCAACTGCAACAGGACAACCGTATGGACAGGAACAGCTGTCTTTTCCTCCAGCTGAGCCATTTTCTCAAGAGCAGTTTAGAGTCCCAAGGCCCCAGGTTATGCTATTTGGAAAAGACAGACTAGAAGTGGAAACTTTACCACCACCACCTCTTCATTCCCGTCCTTCATCCCCAATGTTTCCTTCTTCTTCCCCAGCTCTGGCTCTCAACAATCAAGAAATTTTGTCAGATTTACAATATGAGCAACCCATCGCCACATACCTTCCTACACAAACCCCTTACCCAAATGACATGAACCAACAACTTGCTTTCATTCCTCCTGGAAACTCTGCATTCACAACAGCTATGAACACTCATCAGGATTATCTTCCTCCTCTTCAGCCAGCCAATCCTCCTATATCTATTTATCCCAGTCACGTATCCCCATCTCCCATACAACCTCAGTTTTTCTCTCAGGCATACCAAACACCCCTTCCTCAAGACCCACAAATACTTCATTTGGGTCAAATTTCACCAGGAACATCATCGGTGCAACAACTGATGCATTCACCATTGCATTCACCAATGGTGTCACCCATGCCAGTGAGAAAAATGAGTCATCTTCCATCTCCACAGCTATCACTAAGACCAGGATCAGTTAGTGTACATGCACCATCTTCACCTCATTTTTCACCCTATCCATTGGACCTCCAACCAGGTATACAGTCAGACCCTCACTTCTCTCCTCGCTTACAGAGTCGGAGACTTACTCATCGGGCCTCAAAGGCAGGCCAAAGACCTGCATTCTCAGTGGACAGGCAGAAAATATCAAGTCCCACATCTTCCCCACACTTCTTTAGAAGAGGGGTGTCAGTAAGAGCTCAGCCATCTCCACCACATGGAAGGAAAGAATTTGGTTTGCATAGAGGTCCCTCATTTGCCAAACCTCAATCCCCACTTTCTAGTCCATTAGCTTCTCCCCGACAATCAGTAAGAAAAAGACATAGTCCACCACCTTCTCCGAGACTTTCTTTTAGACAGCAACCCCCTCCAGATGCAATGCCTCTGCCACCTACCAGACCACCTTTGTTTAAAGGGAGAAAAAAGACATCTATAATGAGACATTCTCCTTCTCCTCCACTGCCATCTCCACAGAGAAGGAGCCCACCTCAGCATGAACAATCTCATTCCTCTCCACAGTCTTTTCGCCCTTTTTCTCGTTATCGTCCTTCCTCTCCTTCACCATCTCATGTCTCTGCTAGACCCCTTCCCACACGTTCCTCTACTCGTAGACTGAGAGGTGGTCCTGGAACAAGAAGTCCTGTGCCTATGGGAGCTGTGAAACCCTCTCCAGCTAACCCCTATTCACAAAGACAAAGTAGACACGGGCCTCGTGTCACTCAGCAAGTAGCCCCTTTTAGGTCCTCAATACATAGTGGTCCAGCCTCTCCTTCAAGACAAACAGGGTCTGTAACTGGAACTCCAATGTTAGCCAGATCAGGTTCTCGGCCTACAGGGTTAAGAGAAACCAAGCGAATTAGTACTTCCCAAGGAGGATTTCAAAGACCTGTTGGTCGAGGGCAGCCCTTAGTGCAAATACCCAGAAACGAATCTTCTCTTCAGTCAAGGCAGTCATTCCGAACTCCTGCAGTATCTCCAATTTTTCTACAGCAATCCTTAAAACACAGTGGGCCCATTTCTCCCCAGCCATCAGTGCGTAGGCTCCAGAGTAGGTCTCCATCTCCACAACCTCTGCAGTGTGCATCACCTTTTCCTTCTCGTTCTGCTTCTCCCATGTATCATCCATCTCACCCACCTTCTCCCTTGCCTCACAGACCTGTGAGTTCTCATAGTTTGGGACCATCTTTTCAACCTTCAGTACCTCATTCAAATCTTCCCCTGAATGTTCATCCAACATCACAGAGCATCAGTCAATATAACTACACAATGATGGAGCCAGGCCCAACCCCAATGCTTACAAATGCTTTAACAAGTCCTCAGGTTTTAGGTTCTCCTTTCCCTCCTTCCATTCCTTATTCCAACAGTGCTTACACCTCTCCTTTACAAAGACCCACATCAATCCAAACACAGCAGGAGGTTCATCCACAACCCCTTCCTCAACAAGTACCTTTGTCTCCTAATCTAGGACGTAGACTCCAGAATCCTTATCTCCAAAATGCTGGAAACACCACATCTTTACAGATAAGCCCTTCTACTATACCTAGTGCACAGGGGGAGGAATTAGCTAATCTTCAGGAGACACCGATGGTGGACTCATTTGGCACATTAGGTCTATCCAATGCATTGATGCAAAACTCCAGACTACGCAGTGCCTCCTATTCATCTCCTTTACAACGCAATGCCAACCTTTATACAACTGTTTTGACTCCCAGTCAAACAGCAACCCTTCCAGTCCAGTCTCCCATCTCTTCACCACAATTGTCTTCTGCTATGCTTACCTCTCAACTACATAATGCTTCCTTTGCATCACCTTTACAGCGACAGCTCTTCCCCCCATCTCCTGTGTTGCCTACTCCTCCTTCCACTATACCACAGCAAGGAGGTGTCAGAGGTATCTCCCCATTTTTGTCTGGTGAACTCAGGACTTCCCATATCCAGGGATCAATGTTAAGGCTTCCAAGTGGCACTCTGACAATGTCCAGGGACCCTGGTGGACTTCCTAGTACAACAGATGGTACAGGAGTTGTTGGTAATGGAAGACTGTCACCTTCTACTCTCTCTAGCGCCCTGCAGAACCCAAGTCTTCGTCAGGCCACCTATAGACTACCTGATGGCTCATTGATGACCAGGCATAAATCTGCTGAACCCCAATCTTCCTCTTTGCTATCTTCTGCACTTTTGAATCCTAATTTACATAAAGCAACCTTTAGGTTGCCAGATGGAACTTTGGTTGTAAGAAATGAGGCAGTTCCTGAGTCTTCCTCTCCTGTGCTCTCATCGGCTATTCTCAATGCAAATGTACGAAAGGCTTCTTATCGATTACCAGACGGTTCAATTCTAACACATCCAGGAGGGAAGACTGAAAGTGCTGATAATGCAGGCCCATCACTAGGGCTTTCTAATGCCTTGATGAATGCAAATCTTAGAAAGGCAAAGTTTCAGCTTCCAGAAGGATCAGCTCTTTTTTCAAAAAATCAAACTCAAAGTCCTTCAAGTCCCCTCCTTTCTGGTGCCTTGTTAAATAGCAACATTCGTGGTGCTTCTTACAACCTCCCAAACACATTGTTACAGAAGCAGCAGGGATCTGTAGACACTTCTGGACCACACTCACTTGATCTTTCTAATGCTCTCCGTAACAAGAACATTCAATCTTCCACATACCGTCTGCCAGATGGAACTCTCATGACCCGCTCTCAGACAACTTCTTCACCCCAAACGCTTGATCTGTCTAATGCATTGTCAAAGAACCCAAACCTACGTGGGGCCAAATACCGACTCCCTGATGGTAATATCATGACAAGACTTGGTGCCCCTAGCACTCCACAACAACGCTCGCTTAACCTTTCTGGTGCTTTGCAGAACTCTCAACTCCAGCGAGGCTCTTTCCGCCTATCCTCATATGCTGTTGTTTCCCCCCAAGTCCAGGGGTCTGGTCCTGATAAACACTGGGCTGGTTCTGGACTTGACGGATTAGGAATCCAGCAAGATATGGACGTGTGGGGGGCAGAGAGAGTTCTCCCTCATGGAACAGTGCAGAACCTCAATAAATGGTCTATGTATCGAGATGGAGAGCTCCCAGACCCCCAGAATATAATGAGACAGAGACATACAGGGGAGGAATCTGGGGAGTGGAATCTCAACAGGGAGGGGGAACCACAGGGAGACTGGTTTGACAAGGTAATAATTAAATTAAACATTTTAAACATCCACAGCAGTTAAAGTGTATAAAAGTTAAAATTTTGTGCATATTATTAGTAATAAACTGATGGTGTTTGGAAGTTGAAGAAGTCTTTGGCCACAAGGCTTTTTCAATAATACATTGTGCACTGCATCATTTCTTCATTTCTCTGTGTGTGTGTGTGTATGTTTTATTTCAGATGTACGCAATCAGAAGCATGTCCACAATAGCTGAGCGGGAATTCAGAGAGGAAGATGGCGTGGAAGATATGACACAGTTAGAGTGAGTTAAAAATAAATCATGTATTTACAAGACTTGCCAAAATTAAACTCACACACAATTTTTAGAACTATAGAGCCTAAAGAAATCACTGCAGCGTGCTTGTAAGCAAAATTTTAGCAAAGGCGCTGAAAATGTCAAAGACATTTGAGAAGTATGCTTAGAACGGTAAATGGGTCACTCAGGGAAACAACTTTATTTGTTTTAAATGTTGTGCAGATGAATAAATGCAAATAAATGGTTCTAACAAAAATTACATGTTCTGAATTGCTCAACATCTTTAAAAAACTCAGTCCTATTTTTCTAGTGAAATGCACGAAGGAGCTGTTCTTCTAAACACAAGAAGAAGGTTTGAGAGAGAGCTCATTTATGTAAGTAAATTTTATACAAGCACGATACAACTGATTTAACATTAATCTATTATGAATTTAAGAATGATTTAGATAGTCATTGCAGTTCTGTTTACTTACTTTCTTTCTAGTCTATTGATCTTTATTCATATTTTCTTTGAAGACATACATAGGTAGTATTCTAGTGTCTGTGAATCCCTACAAGATGTACAACATTTATGGGACAGACATAGTACTGCTGTACAAGAGGCGCGCTCTGGGAGAGAACCCTCCGTAAGTCACTTTCACTCTCAAACAGAACGAAAAGTGAGCTGCAAAAAATGAAAACTGGATTTTCAGGAACAGTTTAAGCACAGCTAACAATTTTTTTTCTTACAGGCATTTGTTTGCCATAGCAAATGCTGCTTATACCAAAATGATGGATGCCAAACAAAACCAAGTCATAATCATCAGGTAGGAGACCTGAATACCACTTCTTTTATAAATGCAAATAAAGTTTTTTTTAATTGTTTTGAGCCCATACATGTACAGTATTTATCATACGTAGATTTTTTTAACAAGATTTTTCATGTTACAATTTTACTTACAACAAAATAATTAACCTATTTCTTTGCATTTTTTTCTCATTTTAATAATAATCTTTATGTTTTTGGAAGTTGTCTACCTTTTTGAGTGCATGTTTCTGAGGTCTGTTGAGCACTCATATTTTTGTCTTAACTTAGATATTTGTCTCTGATTTACAAGTCTAGGAAACATAAAGGGTTAGTTCATATCTTTTTAATTTTTTTTTGTGGAAATTTTATGAACAATTAACATCTTATTTGTTGTTGATAGCTCTTTGACTGACCAAAGTGGATTGCTGCTTTATTAAAATAACTCTAATCCCAAAAATTTAGTAGCTCATGTAAATGTTTTTATAAGCATTTACACCGCTGTAAATTCCACATTAGATTGTTAGTCTACCAGAAATAACATGATGTTCATGTATGATGGGCCTTCAAACCAAGGTCATTAAAATAACTATCCACAACAGATAAGATACTAATTGTTGATAAACCTTCAACAGAACCCCACATCAAAAGATCCGAGCTTCACTTTCAACCATAGACATGTCTTATTACTGCCGTTAGTGTTTAGCTCAGCGTCAAAATGTATATCTTAAAAAAAGAAATAACATACACACACATGCACATGCACACACGCACACACAAGCATCTGGACATTTGGATTGACCAGAAACAGTCATTTAATACACAAACACACCTGAACAAGCACTTTGTGTCACACACCTGGAAAACTCTAGCCGTACTCGGAAGGAGACACCTGTAAGGGAAGCCCAGCCAGGTCTGGACCACAAACAGATTGTGTTTCAGAGGTTTGAGGGTTTGTGTGTGAACATTTATTGTGTGTGTGTGTCAGTGAGTGTGTGTTGGGGCTAACTGAGGTCTAGTGTTCAGTGAGCATTTACGGTCCAGTGAGTTGAAGCCATACGCTGGAATGTTGTGAGGGTACCACTCTCCAAAAACACACAAAAAACACACAACACACACACACAACGCTGCTTTCCTTTAGCTAGGCTGGCATAATGGCAGCATTTAGTGCTAATTTGTTGGCAGCAGTACAGCACTGGATATGTGCTTGTGCGAGACCGTTTCAGGTAGTTTAACGCAAAAGTGGAATTGAGCCCTCGTCTAATGTGAGCGTTGCCTGTTCTCACATAACTCAAGTCAGTTAAGTCAAACGAGCCTGAGCAGGGAGGTAAAGAGGATCAAATACAACCCTGGCTCCAGCTCAAAGTGACGACTGTTGCAAAACTGTTGAGGAAATCACAAAAGTTTGTCTTTTGGCACAAAAATAAATGTCTTCTTAAGCTTGTAAGGGTTTCAAAATCAGAATAATTAGTTTACTTAGAGCTAATTTCATTTGTTCAGTGTGTGTTACTTTTTTTTTTCAATTTGGTTTAGAGGTTATTCAGTTTATTTAGAATTTAGAGTTAAATTTTCTATATTTCCAGCTGTATCTGACATGCAGAACAAAACTCTTCATATTTGAAGAACCTTTCTGTCACATTGATGGATTGAATGTCGTTTTTTTTTCTGGGTTTTATTGGGTTTTAGTGGAGAGAGTGGCTCTGGAAAAACGGAGGCCACCAAACTCATCCTTCGCTACCTGGCAGCAATACATCACAAGACAAACCTTGCTCAACAGGTATGAACAAATGTCGTCAGATGTCCAAACCGACGCTTCTAGATTATTATATGTTTGCAAATCACACACTGATGAGCCTTTCTGTTCTGATGAACCAGTATTGTTTTATTCTTTATATCTGATGGCTGACTTTGGGTGCAGATTGAGGTAGTCCAGTTCCTGCATGCTGTGTGTTCTACGTTCTACAGCTGATGTGGTCTTTAGAACAGAAAGTTGCTGTGTTTTGCTGTGCCATGTGATTATCATTTCACTAAGTGTGCATACATTTCTCTTGATGACTCAAAGAACTTGTGCGATGCTCACTCGTTGTTTGAACCTGCTTCTCATTCATGAAGCGCTGGTTTTCCATCAGTCAATGCACCCGTTCATTAAAGGGACACACAAACCAGACTACACACTACATACTCACATTTAGGGGCCATTTAGAAACACCAGTTAACCAAACATGCATGTGTGGGAGGAAACCGGAGAACCTGGGGAGAACCCACACATGCACAAGGAGAACATGCTGACTCAACAGGCAGGGGCCCAGGTGAGCTGAAATCCAAACCCGAGCTCTTCTTGCTGCGAGGTAACAGTACATCACCGTAGAGTGATCCACCTTGTGTTTTCTTTTTCTTTTAGGTGAGGGGTGTTGCAAATTTAAAAAGCCCCGAGTCCAAATTATTACATGTATTTATTTCCCACAAAAGTGCTCCTAAACCACTTTGAACGCCCCGTTAGCATCTTAAATTTGTGTACGTTTTTCTCATCAATCTACAACGATGTACTCGATCTTTCTGAAAGTAGACTGATGAATGCATGATGTACTATTTCACAAGTAGGAGTATTTATATGCCTGCAGGTACTTGACATTTTTTTCAAAGTCTTTTGAAAATACACAGTAGCATGTATACATAAATACTCTGAAATAATTATATATGAATTCCTTCAAGGGCTGTGCAGTGGTTAGACTTGTTGCCTCTCAGCAAAAAGGTTGCAGGTTCACCTCCTGACCCGGGGCCTTTCTAGTGGAGTTTGCATGTTCTCTGTGCATGCGTGGGTTTTCTCCGGGTACTCTGGTTTCCTCCCACAGACCAAAAACATACATGTTAGAGTAATTAGTAACTCTAAATTGTCCTCAGGTGTGAATGAGAGTGTAAAATGTTGTTTGTCCTGTTTGTCTCTAAGTGTCCCTATGATGGACTTGTGACCTGTCCATCGCCTCTCGCACAGCGACTGCTTGAGGTAGACACCAGCTTCCAGTGAGCCTGTGTAACAAGCCATAGTATACCCACAGTCTGGACTATATCTGGGGTTATAGGGGCCTAGGCTAGAGTTTACTATGGCCAATCTACGGTATACACCAGCTCAGGCCAGATTATACCCCCATGCTGCCTGCTCAATAAAAGGTGGCGGGCATTGATTTTGCTGCCTACAATGACTGACAAAAACAATTTTTTAAAATCCTTCCTGTTTTTGCTATCACTGAATGTATTATACACCTCATTTCATTGTCATACATGTCAAGTCTTACGGATTTTCCGTAAATTGTAGATTTTTCATGACTTTGGACATACAGAGGAAGTCTTACTGATTTTCCAAAAACTCTGCTTCAAATTTTTTTTACATCTCATGGCGGGCCTGTAATCAAACAATAATGTCACCCTCTCCTTCTCCTCATGCTTCTACCCCGCTACTTAGACTTTTCTTACTTATACCATACCATACCATTTACCATACCATTTTATTTATAGAGCACTTAAAACAGCGACAAGGCCAACCAAAGTGCTGTACAGACAGAAAAACAGGTAACACACAAAGCAAAATACAAAATGAAGTAAATCAGAATATAGACATAAAAACGATGCAGATAATGATGACAAACCAGTGTGGAGTATACAGGTTCAAAACACAGATCCTCTGGTGTTGAAAGCTACTGAATAGTAGTGAGTTTTTAAATGGGACTTGAGAGGGAGGGGGCCAGTCTGACAAGCAGAGGTAACTCGTTCCAGACTCTTGGTCCTGCTACAGAGAAGGCCCTGTCACCTCTGCGCTTAAGACGAGTTCCTGGAACTGTGAGGAGCAACTGGTCCGCTGACCTCAGGGAACGTGGTGGGACATACGGTTGTAGCATATCAGAGAGATGGGGGGGGGGGGGGGGGGGCACTGTTCAGTGATTTGTAGACATACAGTAGTATTTTGAACTGGATTCGAAAGTGAACCAGTGCAGTGAGGCCAAAACTGGTGTAATGTGCTCTCTTTTGCCTGTACTGGTTAAAAATCGGGCTGCTGCATTCTGGACCAGTTATAGTCGTGCAATGGAGGTCTGACTGATACCAAACAGGAGCGAATTGCAGTAATCAAGCCTAGATGTAATGAATGCGTGTATTACTGTCTCCAGGTTATTTTTGGAAAATATGGGCTTCAGTTTAGACAGCCGCCTCCGTTGGAAGAAGCATGATTTAACAATCATGTTTACGTGACTGTTAAGTTTCAGGGAAGGATCCATTATCACTCCCAGATTAGTGTCTCTTTGTTTTTCTGACAGGGTTAGAGCGGAGAGGTCGATGCAGTGGTTTGTGATCGTGTCATTGTTAGGGAACAACATGACTTCAGACTTCTTTTCATTACTACTACATTACTTATGCCGCTTTGCCATTGGTAAGTACGGCTCCACTCGGGATCGTCAATGCAAAGTGGTCGGGATCGTAACAGATCATTGTGTTTGAGCCACTCCACCTGTTGTGGTCCTTAACTGCCCTATAATTGGACTTCAATTTCTTTAGCTTATCTCAGCACTGCTAATATGTCTGGGTGTAGCCATGCTGCACCATCATCTCTGATATCTCTCTGTAAATAAAATAAGACTATACAGTAGTCCCTCACTACTTTGTGGTTCGTTTATTGTGGACTCGCTCTATCGCGGTTTTTGAAAGTAAAATTGGCATTGACACACAGCTGGCTGATTGATGGATGAGCCGCACGATCGACATGGAATTTTTATTTTACAATTAATTATTTTAAATTATTTAGTACCTGTGTGCAGCCCACAGCTGTGGAAGAGGCTTACTCCTGCAGCTGATCAGCTGATCTCCGTGCAGAGCAGAGAAGTGGGCGTGGCTGAGAGTGCAACCAGAGGCAGAGAGCTGAAATCATGACATTCTGAGCTCTTTTAGAGCGTTTAGAGTTTAGAAACATTATTTAGAATATTGCAAGAGTGTGGGAAGGGTTTAAAATGCATATATAT